CTACATTATGAAATTTTTCAGGGTAGAAACTTTGTTATTGTCTAGCTTGCATATGTAAATAATGCATTACAAAATCCTTTACTTCACTTCCTTAGGAAGAACTGAAGAGTGTGAAGTCAGGGATCCTACCTAAAGCCTTCACTCTCCACCCATTTCTGCTCCAAGGCGGCACCCAAATGCCACAAAATTCTCATCCAGAATAAAAGTTCACTTTGGCATCATCAGTCAGAGGATATCACTCACAGCACCATGAGATTTAAGAAAGAAAGTATGTTTACCTTGACAGATGACCACATTACTTTGAGGCATATGGTAGTCTGACTCTTTTAATGTTGCTAGGGTCTCCCTTACATGTTGGGTGCTGACCATTCCAAATGGGTTCAGATGGAAGTTATCTTAAATTAAAACTATGTTCAGTCCTAAGAAACAACTTTTGTTTATTAAATATTAAAACATCTTGAAAATACTTTCACAAGCATATATATACATACATAGAGACGCTATGGGTTTAGTCTTTTGGACTTAAAAACCAGGCTTAACTCTGTAATCTTAGAAATAAAAAACATTGTGTTTCAAATCACAGAAATCACACATCAGTGAAGTCACACATCAGCAGTAATATTTACATCATTACATTTGGTGCAAATTCAAGACAAACAAAAAGGTAAACCAGGCTTCAATAAAACCAAAATTATTTTTAAAATGTATGTTCTAATTAGAGGCAATAAAAATAATCTTAGAAGGTTAAAAATTATTCTGTTCTAGGTTGAACACTATTGGAGAAAAAAATTGTCAAAAGCAGCAGACTGTCATATTGGTTTTTCAGTTACCTCAAGGGTTGAATTCGCAATTCCCTAGAATACTACCATAAATAATTATTATTCATTGCTTGCTCCAGACATAACCCAAACTAATACATTGATTTCTTGAAACGAACAAGTTAATTCAGTATTGCAGAAATGCCAACTGTTATTTTGTTGTTCTTGATTTCAATGGGATTCTTAGAGTAAGGAAAGTAGGGTTGTATCACTAAATGCTGATAAAATTATAATATTTGAGACTAGTTTAAGAAAAAAAAGGAAGAAAATCTCCATGATGTGCTTCTATTGAAAGGTCTCATTTGTCTGTGCATAATGTGCTAGTGATGTTCAGAAACCAACAGAAGAGGTACTACATTCAGAAGTTGATTGCAAGAGTCCAAACAGGCTGTTGGCCTACGAATACAGCCAATGCTAAAGCTTTTACATCTGCTTAATGCTGTGCCATAAGAATCCTTCCTTTGGATAGCCACATCCCCAAAAGAACTAATCCTAGTATATGTGCTAAGCATGGTGGTCAGACATCTTTCTTACATGACACTGAAAGCCCTAAACAGCAAACCAAACACCTTTTACTCTGGGCTGTTCCATTCTGGCTTTAGAAATATGAACAATGCTTCATTCTTCTGACACAGCTATCAAATGTATACAATGGATTTTACTGAGAAGAATAAACTCAAGCCCACAGCTCCCTTATGAGGTAGGTAAGTCAGATTCTTTCCATTTTAAAGCAGAAAATTGAGGCACAGTACAGTTAAGTTCGTGACACTGCTTGAACCCAGTCCTCCTCCTCAGAAGATCACACATAAAAATGAATGAAGTAATACAGGTATACAAACGGATCAGTATTCCTATCAAAATATATAAACTTTACCTGTAACAGTTTACTTCATTCTATTGAAACACTTGGGGGGGAAAAAAAAAGGCCTGATAAATGCAGTATAATAAAGTCTGAAAAGGAAAACATTATGATAATGGTTTTATAAAAACCTGAGATGAATCCTTGATGGAGTCAATTCATTTTGTGAACAGAATCTCACAGACTTTTAAAACAACATAAAAAATGAGATCATCTGATAACACTGTTGGACTGAGGCTGATGTTGCATTTGATAATGGGGCAGATTTGAAAGTATTTACTGATCTGGCTGCAAAAACTCTGATGTGAACACAGCTTCTGCATAATCCTCACAAACATCCTGCAGTTCTGCTGCCACATCACTTAGGGCTTCTTCTGTTAGTTGCTCTGCAAGACTGAGAGAGAGGGAGGGAAGAAAAGGAAAAGGTTCAGAAAGTCAGATTTCAAATTCCAGTAATTCATTCCATTGATATCAATGATTTGATTTGAAAAAGCAAATACTCATGTTTTTTTCATTCTTTCTACTGCTTAGCCCAAAAAAAGATCTGATATGTGTTCTGGTATGTGTTGTATAAGATATCAGAAATTCTCTCCTCAGACTGGTTCATAGAAAAGGACATATTTCAGGCTTTAAAGTGTTGAGGCATCTTGGTTGCTTCCTTTTTTCAAACTCTTAGATACTAATTCTGCTTTGGGAACAAGAGTTAACATACTATGGTGCTCATCCAAAGGCCATTGAAGTAAATGGGAAGCTTCTTATTGATTTTAGCTGCCACTGAATCAGGCATTACTGACAGCAATAAAGTTTAAGGGAAAGTGAGATGAGAAATTTCAATTTTCAGTGATCTCTGGACCACAGCAGATATTACAGAAGGGTAAGATTTTTATTTAATTACCCTTCTAACTAAAGGGTAGTTTTATTTTAGTGTAAGAACACAATTGTTTACTGGCCTCTTGAAAACTTCTCTTCAGTTGTGCATGTATCCTAAATTATCATAAAGTTAGTCTTTCTAAGACCTTTTGAGCATAGCATGGGAGTGTTTCTTTTAAACGTTGTGGGAGACTATTTTATGTAAAAAGATTTATAATGCCCTCTGGTGGTAAGAGTAAGTCAATGAAGTATGCTGGATATCAGATTGCATCTGTAGTTTGATTTCAAGTAACAACATGTTATCAGGCAAATGGCAGCAGTGGAATTCAGCTGTCAGGAGAGATTCACTGCCATTTAATCCATCTGCCAATCCCAAGAAGGTGCCAGTCCTTGAACTACCCAGCCTCACTCCGATTATAAAAAGGAGCACAGCTCAGAAGGCAGAATGATGGTACTGAGAACTGACAAGGCATATTTCAGTGGTTTAGTTCAGCAGATTCAAATACAGTGGTCTAACCACAGTTATTAAAACATTTGCCTACTTATCCACAATTGAGCAAAACCATCACCACACATGATTAACTTCACACATGCAAATCATCTGAAATATTGCAGGACCTGTTCCTGGAAACACTGATGCAGATGCCAAATGTTACTCATATGAGCTAATTTAAATACATCAAAAATGTGTGCAGAAGTTTAAAAACTCTTGGCAATTAAGCCTGATGTCCAATCTGCCAATACAGATAATTATGGCAAACCACTCCATCTACAACCACTGAAGTTAGATTTTGTAATTCTTTCTTAATAGTCCAGAGTTTTCTTCTTTCATTCCTCTCCTCCCATAGTCAGAAGTCTTCTAATTTCCGCTCTGCAGGGAATTAATGACCCCTCTATGCCAACTCATGTTGTGCCAGTATTTCTTCAGTTCTGAAAGAACAGGACTAGCAAGGTTCAAGTTCAGCCTGTATTTCCATGCTTTTTTGCGGCTGGGACTTTACAAGACCAATAGGTGATTTCTGAAATATCTTGTACATATTTAAAATGATTTCTAGGCAATTATAGGCAATCACTCAAGAAAAGGATAATCACTCAAGGAAACGATAACCAGTGATATAATTTAGTTGCTATACCTGGTACTGAGCAATCAAAATACTTATTCAAGCTTCAGTGCAAGGGTGGGTATTTCAGCTTACATTGCCCTGCTTGCTGAGCAGACATTAAGCTTGACAAACAATTTTTCTCTGCCAGGAAGTGAACAGCAGAGAGACTGTTACTTACAGCTTCTTCACCTCTTCTATTTGTACTAAGGGATGGTAAGCCACCTATGTCACACCTCCTGCAGTGAGCTCTGTGAAGCATGAAGACTTGTGGAAGAGAAAGCACTGAAATCTGTGCTAAGGCCAGTGGCCTCTTTTTAAAGAATATCTACTGTTGTTCCATGAAACACCAACTTCGTAATCCCTCTCCACAAAGATTAAAATTTGCACAATTGTTTACAGTGCTTTATTTCTTTTTCACTCAAAAAAAAGAAAAAAAGTTATTTTTGTTTTCCTTCAATTTACCTGTTGATGATAGTCTTCTGAAAATAATTTCAGTTACTCTGTATTTTACATAGTTGATTTTGTGGTAACACCATAGAAAGACGTGAAAATAATCACTCCTCCAGGACACTCTGCTCCCATATCCTTTTGTTTTATCCAACTACCAAAAAAAATCCATGAACACCAAGTTCCAGCAGAGAAACAGTCCAATAGCTGACTGCTTGTGGCTTTCAATTTGGAATTTAAATGGCACCCTCCCCACTCCTTTCCTGAATAATGACAGAAAAACCTGTTAATCAGCTGATACATTCACTTCAAAAACATGAAGATAGTTCATATACCTCTCAGCGATCTGCCATGGATTGAAACTGCCTACTGCCTCATGTGAAATAAGCTTTAAGTGATGCTTGTATCTGCTGTTATAATCCAAGATGCTCTGGAGCATATGCTTTGGCACAGACAGGCACACACAGAACTCTTTCTGCAGAGAATTCCGAGTCAAGGGCTGCAGAATGTCATTTTCAGTCTGCAATTTCTCCTCTGCTTCTTTGTTTTCCTCAACATCACTGAAAAGATAAAACAGTTGTTAAGCAAGAACTAGATTTTCAAGTATCTTTTTGAAGGATCAGAAAATCTCTTCGAATAGTAACCATCATTTTCTGTAATGAAAACACCATAATGAAGACACACAGCTCATATGCACCACAGTTTAATGTAAGGCCAAATATTCTACTTACTTGCCATCAAAAACTTTTTCAAATAAAATGTTCACTTCTGGCTCTGTGCGTCCAATTAATTTGGTTATCTGAATTGGATGAGGAGATGTAGGTCTTTTAGCTATTGATGCAATTTGTTGTTCTAGAAGGAGGAAAATAACATTTAAAATTGTTTTTTTGGAAGAGAAAAACTACATTTACTGCAGGTAAGTCCTCACAAAGACTTTTGCTTCTTTTAAGGGGAAGTCCTTCAGATAAGTTAAGTATTGAAGGTGACAAGCCCCTAAAATGTAAATTCAATATAGGATTTCCAAGAGCTTGGTGTATTAAAGCTGAGCATTTTAGAAATCCTATCTTTAGTATAAATAGTTTGTTGTGTCAGTGGGTACTTCTAGAGAAGAGAGAGAAAATACCACTCTAAAATGAGTGTAGTCTATTAAGCTTGGCAGTAGATCCAAGACATGGAAAAAAAATCCAGCAAGACTTGGGCTAAGTCTTTACCAGTCTTACTGTGAGATTTTTCCAACTGGTGTAAAAAACCCACAGTTCCATTAAAGTCAGTATGTGATCAGACACTCAGCTCGGAAGATCAGTGTAGCTTCACTATTGTACTCAGTCAAATAGTACAATAAAGAACAGAGCAGGGGGATGGGAAAAGCAACAAGTATAAGTCATCCTTATTAGCATGCCACTGTGGCAAGCGATATTGAAGTATGTACACCTATGTATGGGAAACATCAAACTATTGTTTGGAATGCTACCTTTCATTAGTGAACAGTTTTCTACTAATATTACTTAGGTCCCTCTCAATTAAAAATTTAATCTGATGTGAAAAGTGAGTTATAACTTTAATCTGAAGTACTTTACATTCTTTACTTTTCTATCCAATAAAAACAAGCAGGAAAAATGTGATTAATGTGAACTGGAAGCATCCAAATTGTGGGGTTTTTCAAGGATTAAATACTTTTTGCTGAAGTACATTGGACAATGAATTCTGTACAGAAAAATCCAGATTTTCTGAGGCTGTAAAAATTAAACTTTCATGTACACTGCAAGATCTAAAACCAGTATCACCATCACTTGAAAGGAATAAGGAAAGAGAAGAATCTTCTAAGCTTAAGTAATTTAATATTATCTTCTGTGTCTGCCAGAAAAACCTTAAACTGTTACTGATTCACTGCTACACTAATATTTACCTAACATTTACTCTTGAACTCTAAGCCATTTAAACTCATAGTTTATTAAAACAAAGGAAAGAAAATGGGAGAAGCAAACTAGAAGATAAATATCTGCTTGCTCCTGCCTAAAGAAATCAACAGCAGGAACAAACAGACTTTTTCACTATACCTTACCTCAGCCTGTGAACTGTTATGAATAATTTTGAATTAATCAGCATGAAAATGATTACTGCTAAGTAATAAATGGTGTTTCAAAGGAATCAAGTCACATGAGAACACACTAAATACTCTTTTCAAGATTAAGATTTAGTTTTGCCAGTCCTTTTCTCAAAACTGAAGACAAGCAAGTCATGAAGAGCTTAACAAGAAAAGAAGTGAAGTGGCTTTAGGATACCTCAGACTTAGAAAGTAAACTAGCTGTCTTCTGCAGTAAATTCAAGTAGCTTACAGATGAATTGGGAGTGTAGGTACTTATGGAATATCATCTTCACTGCACAAAAATCACTACTCACATTTTGGTAGAAAAGAAAATATCTAAGTTAAGGAATGACAAATGCCTAGAAAATGGACAACATTCAAACTTTACATTTGATGATTGGAAGTATGTGTTAAAGACTCCTATCCTTCAGCTAAGCTGCACTAGCAGTGCTTTCCATCCAAATGCAGCCCCAATAAAGGCTTGCAGAAAATGACAGCCTGTTCTCAGAAGAGATCCTTCCTTTTTCAAATACTGATTTTAGAACTATATTTTAGAAACAGTCCTCTGAAAGGAGCAGTTATAGTAAAAAATGTGTCTGGATGGTGCTATTTCATCACATATAATCCAATGATTTTGATCTCAAAACATCTGAATTTAAAGATGCAGATTAAAGGAAAACCAAGTTGCATTAAAAAGAGACTTACCCATTTTGTCCTCCTGGCCCCAGAACTCAGAATCACTGTACACAATCCGGGTGAATCTCCTGCGTACAGCCTCCTGGTATCTCTGGTTTTGAACATACAAAATTAATCAATCAACACATACTTAGCAGTTCAGCTGTACTAGTTATCACCCAATAGGAAAGCAGGTCATGATCCTCCTTGGTCAAAGTAGGCTTATTTTGCCTAGTTAACGTAACACAGAAAAGGTTATTTTGCCTAGTTCACATAACACAGAAATCTGAAATCACAGATAATAATCTTGTTCAAAATGCCATACTTGAAGACTCAGCCAGTTGCCAGTACCATGGCAACTCCTCCCGTTTCAGCAGTTAGCCAAACAACTGAAGGGCCCTCATGCTGTTCCTCCCTTACCAACAGTGAATTCAAACTTATGCTTAAGTGCCTCATGTGGATAAGGACACTGCACAATGTAAGCTTCATGCTTCCAACGTATGAATGGATCTCTAGAAGTAAATGGCACTAAACTCAGTAGTTCTAAGTTATGATAAATTTCACAGAACAGGAAGGTTGAAATAGGACTTGAACCAAAAACTATGGAAAAGCTGATCAAAGAAAAAATTTTTAAGAAACCAATATATAAGAAAGTTCAAGTCAAGTAAGTTATAACCTCATGAATATATACATAGAAAGATGGATAAATAAGGACAGAGATAACCATGTATTTGTCTGACTTCCCCATGTTGCCCTGTAAAATATTTTGGATTGCTAGAGCATATTTCCTCGAGATGCTCATGCTACTAGAATACTAGGATCCTGTATCACAAAAAAATGGGAAAAAAAATTTAATTCATAAACATTCAAATACTTTCCAATCTGTGAGACAATCAACATAATTGCCATACTGATTCTCCCATTCACATACAATAATCTAAGCCACAAAGTCTTGAGGTGGGAAGCAAACTCAGGTTTACCAATGCTAAAGCTAGCAATAAAACCATTAGGGCAAACATTCTTCTATTCTTACATGTTTTGCTGAAGTGTAAACTCCTTCCAAGTCTTTCATTTCACACAATGATCCAGTCAGACCTTGCTTCATTTAAGAATGTAGATACTTACAGATATTACAATTTATGGACAGTAAACAAGAAACTGGCACTAATGAGACCAGCCAACAGAGAAAATCTTACTTCAATTTCTTCCATTCTTTGCAACATTGAATCCAGACTATGTGTGTCAGCCACAGGCAGAGCCTCGGTCTGGAGTCTCTCATGCTGCTCCATACTCCACAGTTCCTGAGCAGTATCTTCCAAAAGATCATCCAATAGCTTTTCACTCAGAATATCTGCATTTGCTGCAACCTGCTATTTAAAACAAACAAACAAACAAACAACTATACAGCCAATGCAAGGAAAAAAAAAAAAAAAGAAAAAACACCCACAAAAACAACTGAGGGAAAAGAATGCTTACAAATCAAACATTTCTTACAGCAGCTCATGGAAATAATCCAATTGTCATTTCAACTTTTCCCTTCAATGAAAATCCAAACAAATTCTTGTTTTCCTTCTACCCACACAATAAGCCAAATCAATAAAAACAGCTTAGTATGTTCCTACCAATAAAATCAATGAATATGGAAAAAGCTCGCCACACAACTATGTTCCCAAATTGAAGGCGAAACTGTCACAGGTTCAGACACCACCCAGGAATTCAAGAAAGTGAAATGAAGGCCCTCATCTTATGAAACACTACACACACATTTAACTTATCACACAGGAACAGTCTCACAGCAGCTCCAGGTGGTAATGAGTAAATATATAGGGTCCAGGCCACAGCTGTAGGTTTCAATTGTGTTCAATTTTACCAGTTAGCTGTGGTACAATATCACTATTCATTTACCTGTATTATTTTATGTGAAAACATTTTTAACCCCTAAGCAACTTTATGCATTCAAGGTCACACCAAGCAAAAAATATACAAAAGAGATGATGTTGGAAGGAGCTTTCTCATTGTTTCATAATGTACATGGTTACAAAACAATACTTTAGAAGGCACACATGCTTGTAAAGATGTGGCTTATGTAAGTTGAAATTGCTAAGTTTGGGAAATCAGTACTACTTTTCCAGATGCATTCTGCTATATAGCAAAGATAAAAATTAACCTTAAATGTCAAACAGCTTTACCTATAACATACAGACAGAATATACCTTCTCAGCTGCATGACTTAAAAGGTGGTTTATAAATGAAGAATCCTTCAAATGACAGTTTGTTTCCAAGGAGAGATGGATCTTCCAAATAAAATGTAAATCCTCTCATGATAATCAAGCTTTCTGTATTATTAGTCATTAATATTACCAGTTTAAATTTATTTAGGCATTAAATATGGTATTATAAGAATTATTGAAGTAATCTTATCAAGTCCAGTCATGTTCAGCATGGAACTGTTACGACCATTCAAAAGCAACTTAAAATGCATCTACCTGACAAGAAGCTAACCAAATAAAATTTAATGCAGTTTTGCCAAACTTCATTACAATAATTCAAGACCCACATACTGAAATGGAAATAACTCCCCAAATGTCAAAAATTGTGTTGACTACATAAATACGACTTGCATTAAGTTGAAAAGAAACTGCGTGTTGCCCCTTTATAAATGTTTTACAGCTCTAAAGGCATCCTTCAAACAGTGGCATGAGCTTGACTTACTACCTGTGTCCTGTCTAACGGAGGTTCTAAGCGCTCCCATACTGCCTTCTCAACTTTGTCTGCATGCTGCGCTGGAGAAGCACTTTGTGACCTACACAAAAAAGAACAAATGACAATGCCATTCTGAAACTTGGTATGACAACAATAATTCAAAAACCCCAAACACATAAATGTACTTTTTGGGGGACTGGTGGGAGTGCGGAGAAGACCATATCAGATCTGACACCATTTATTAGCTCTTCAAAGAAAGTCATTACCTTAACTTTTGTATTTTTTTCATTTCTCCTCTGTGAAGGTCACTTAGAACCTTGACTCTTGAAGTTTCTGCTTCAAGCCATGCTAGTCTTCAAAGACAAAACAGTAACAGAGGGTTACAAAATGCACATTCTAACTACTGAAGAATAAAATCATGTGATTCTGAGTCTTAGTTTAGAAAACTTGCAAAAAACTTCAGAGAGAAAATTAATACCAACTTTAAGACTATAAAAGCCAGGAAATTCTGCTGAGAACCAGGGATCTTCAATTATGTTTCTGCTACTGGCAAACAGGCAACTTCATGGCTATCCACAAATACTGCCTGGAGAGACGAGCTCCTGATCTTTACCATGCACACTGCCTAATACAGATCCAGCAGCAAGATCAGCAGTTGGATCTCCTGCTTCAACTGCCACAAACAGCAGTCCCAAAGCAAACTAAATTTGGGAAGCTTTGGTCTACAGGATGCCAAATATAGTTTAAAATAAACAAACCTGCACTCTGTTACTGGCTAGGACAAAGATATATATTTTGTCCTTCTGGAACAGGGAAATAATATTTACCTTCTTAAAGCAGTGCTGCGAATATCCATTCTGCATACTGTGTGTTTTGTCAATGCCCCGCCTAGCATAGTTTGGCCTGTGACTCCCAGAGAATACTTGGACATGACCCAGGAAAAAGCATAAAGCTCTTAAAACATAATGGCTCTTCCCAGGCTGTATGAATAAGACCACTTTGTGCCGAGTGGGGAAAAGAATACAACAATCTGGTAGCGAGCTGTGCTGTGCCACTTGCCTTCATGGTCTGACGGCCACGCCAAATCCAGCCTATTTACTAGTACAGATACAGCAGCATTTTCACAGGAAAGCAGGGTAAAGATGGGTTCCACTAGACTGTGAACATACCGCTTAGGTGAAACAGGTGGAGGTGTAGGGTTTGGAGGCACGCAGGGTATTCTGCTCTCCTTAACAAGTCGCTTGTTCTCTTTTAGCTGGAAAGCTATAGTTGTCTCTTGAAATTGGGCATGCTTTCCTTGAGGCTGTACCTGTCTTGATTTTAGAGATTTCAGCATTCCCTTAAAATCAGCACAATCACATTAAAAACATACATTCCAGTTGTTGAATTTTTAAAGTATTTTGCATTCTGCTTCAGAATTTGTCTTGAAGTCATGCCTGCTGCCTTTGTTGCACAGTTGATGTATGTGGATGTTTTACAACTGATTTAAAGGGAAGTACCACTATGCCTGAAAAGAACATATGCTCAATCCTGCAACTATTATTTTTGCAAACAGTTCCAATTTTTCCAATGTTGCTTTTCATAGGGAAAAACTTCTTTTGAAATTTTCAGAACTAGACTCTATGTTAACTCCTAATAAATCCAAATAGAAGTTTTCCAAGGTAACATTTTATTCAGACATGACACTATAATACTGCTATATTTATATTTGCTACAGGGACACTTAGACTAGTCCCCTCAGTATGAACTACTGAAATGCTCAACCTTCCTGCTCACAATCCTCACTGATAGCTAGATATGGGAAGCAGTAAAGTTACATATGCATGCATTACTGTATCAGATCTGACTTTTCAAGCTGAAGGTGATACCCCAAGGAAAGGAAAAAAAAAAAAAAGACATTTAATAAAAAACCCCAACTATTTGCAGAATTTAGCACTTTGAAATATCCTTTAGAGAACTCATTTGTTTGCATTACAGAAGCCTCTTGCTGGTTCTAAGAAGAACTTACCAGGAAGCAGAATTTGTATTGTGAAGTTTTATAATACTTCATTGATTAAAGAAATATCTGCCTAACTTATAGCCTCCTAGTAACATTAGCATTAGCACAACATTACTGCTGAGTGCATTTTTCATGACAGAGGGTGACCAATAAGAGGAAAATATTTCACCTTTAATTTTGAGTTGTAAAATAAACATGCTAATTTCAAACATTAAACTAGTTTCGGTGGAAGTTTTCCTTGCTAATTCTGTTATTGTTTCTAGTTGTACAGTGCGTTTCCAAGGAACAATAACACTACTTTCAAAAAAACATTCGATAAAATAGTCATAACCACTAGAAATAATGTAGGCAGATGACGTAGTTTATCCCCCTATGCCTCCTAGATCAGAATAAAAAAATTGTGAGGAACTACAAAGCTTGACAGTGTCTTACATTATATAACAAATCCTAGAGGACAAGTAGAAGAAAGCATAAATTCTTTTATCACTTCCATACCTGTGATTTTGCAGGTAATAACATGCCTTTCTTCTTCCAAGGGCCACTTTCAAGGATGGGATCTTTTTTTACAGCTCTAGCTCTCATCAATGCATCTGTGTTTCCTTGTAAAGTGGCATTTCTCTCTGGCACAGGTGGGTCATTTTCTTCTCGGAATTTATTGTGCAGTATACGAGCACAACTGTTTGCCTTCTGAACTGCTGAAATATTTACAACATGTCAATGTTTATCTGTATCAAAAATAATAAACTTTCAACTGTAAGTTGAAAGGGGCAAGAATCATCTTTATTTCTACATTTGATACTTCTGTTATGCTAGCTATACTTAATCATGAACTTTTAAGTGCTATCATAAATAAAAAAAAACCCTTGTATTTCCTGACAAGTATTAAATAAATTGTCTTTCTTACACTGTGTCTTTCTTACACTGTTTCAATGAACAGGAGATTTTGCGTTTTGTGTGCATATACATATTTATATGTATATAGATATTTGAAAATACACATATATATGAAAATCACGGGAAAGCCTTTTGGTAGTAATTGCCATATGAGGTCTAGGCAGTGATAACGAAACATTCTTTTTTAGGCAGCAAGACACGTGGAAACCATTAGATGCTTGTCAATATACTGTCTCTCTGGACTGCCAAAGATTAATTCCTCTCATAGAATTCTTCTCGCCCTTACCTAGGGGTAAAAAGGAATACTTACTATTCTAGTAAAAACAGTATGTGGTATGAGAAAGACACCCCAAAGAAGAAAAACAATTAATATAGGTTATATAATAATGTAATAAGCTATAATGGCTTTCATGAGGTGTCAAAATTGGTGGTAAATTTATCTCACAATACCTTCAGAAAGAATAAAGCCCACTTCCTTTCATATATGAAGTAAAAGAATAAAGTAAACCAATTCCCAATGGTTGCATGGCAAACTAGTAGTGCAAAAACCAAAGTCTTCAGCTTAACTATCAGTTAACATCTTTAGGTACTGAAACTGTGATTACTGTGCAGAAGACATTAACGTTAATGAACTGGTAAGAATAAAACAAAGCCACCCCTCTCAAAAGTAGAGAAACTGCACAAACCAAGGAAATTTCTGAGCCAAGGCCTCAGCGTATCTTTTCACTGTAAACAGTTAAACAACGATAGCTTTGTTGGAGATTTGCTAACAGTTAGTGACTTTGCATTTAAAAATAATATATTTATACAGCATTTTCTAGGCAGATATTTGGAAATATTCTGTATGCACCATTAATGTCAACTTGTAAACTGCCATTTAGGTGTCTGTAACTGCAGAAAAACACCCTAAGTGTAGCCCACGGTAAAAGAAATGGACAAAAATATTAAGAACATGGTGATAATAGTAATATAAAGAGGCATATAAACCTGCAGGTCTATCATAACAGGGGAACAGCTGAAAAAAATGCATAACAAGGCTATGTGAATCTGATAACTACATATGGGCTGTTGCACACTTCTGACCAACAACACGTAACACACTACAAAACTGAACTGCAGATGGTAAGTTATCTGATAAAAATGTATTTAATAATTCAAAATACAAACTAGTTGAGAGACTCCTGGCAGCTGGAGGTTTTCTAGGTTCTTGTCCATGCTGTCCCTTTAAGACAAGAAGTTTGTTTTCTCCTTTTGGAGATGTAAGCTGCTTTCTGGCTGGAAATGTCTCAGTGTTCCTTGGAGATTTGCCCTGAGATGCTGAAATACATTTCTTCACTTTTTTGGGTGTTTGTTTCTTTTCCAGCAGTGAATCCAGATCCTGCACCAAATATTTAGAATTTTAATTACTCTCTCAGTAAACCTGATGTAATAATGAGAAGCAAATTCAAGAGATTTTAACTAGTTGGAACTTTTTTTGGTGTGGTTTTGTTTTGGTTTTTGTTGTAGTGCTGATTCCTGATAGGTTGTTCATGCAGAAGCTTCTTGATATTTTAACTTAAATTTACAGAAAAGGCTTGCATTTTTGTATTTACAGTTGGGTCCAGCAAATTTTCTGCTTGCAGCATGTTCAAAAAGAAATGGACACAAAGGCTACAGACAAAAAAATAAAAATGCCCACATGACTATGGTAAGACAGACAGATACTTCTTCTGATGCTAAATCCAAACTTAAACAACTCTACCTCCCTTCCTGTTCCCAGGCAGTTAGCACTGTTACTGTTCTCATAAGCAGTTCAGAGCAGTAAAAATAAAACCACAGCTCTTACAGTTAGAACAATATTTTAGGGAAAATAAAATATCTTATGGCTATTTTATCAGTTGCTTTTATTAAAATTAATTAAATACTGGTTTCATAATAGTTCAGGTTACATAGGTTCTTACTTAAATTAAGTCTTGTAGGTAGGAACTGCAGTGGGAAACATGAATCAGAACTTTTCTATTATACCAACAACATGTTTTAAGACATCAGATATCACTAACAAAAGCCATTTGAAGGGCATAGAGCTTAAGTAACTCTTGTAGCTACAACTTTATCTTCTGCCTGGACAATTCTGCACCCACCACCACATGTGAGTCTCAGATGCTCATCACTAATCCTGATGATGAAAGCATGCACCGCAAAACAATAAACATGTAACTTACACCAATGTATAAAATGCAATTCTTTCAGTCCTGAAAATGGAATATGAATCAGAAACTGGTGCTTTGTTACCACTATCACTACCAGTCCTCATTCTACCAGGAGAACCAATAAAGACAGGAAGAACAGCAGCAGGTAGCTTCCATGTTTAGGATGCAACTCTATTTTAGACCACCATTATTTAGAAATGTACTTACACATTAGAAAATATGGCCTCTAAAATCAACCAACCAACCAACCAAACAACAGAAAGATATTCTGCCATTTCGTGAACACACAATATAGTTTGCAGTCTCATATTTCACTACATCTTTTCTGCCTTCGCAAAAAAAAAATGTGTTTTCCTACCTCAACTTGCAGCAAAATGTCTATGATAACGTCAGAAATGGAAGAATCCAATTCTAGTTTGGCAGAACAGAGAGACAGTTGTCGAATGAGACTGCCCAGTTCCTTGTAGTGGGTAGGAATCTGCTGCTCTGTTTGATCTGTAAACTGATTGGCAAATGCCTGCAAGGCTCGTACAGCTCCTCTGTGTGCTGCTGCCAATCTGGATACTGCTCGAGACTGGAAAAATGAAAAATAAGTGCTTTCATAACTACAGCTTCTATGAATACTGATGCTATTCAAAGAATTGTTGCCAAAATTTCATAGAGAAACACTCAGGCATGGGATAATTCTGATTGATATGAGGCCATTTGTGCGACAAAACAAAACAGGCATTTAGGTCATCTACTAAAGGTACTACACAACAGTACTCATATCAGGTATCATGCTAGCTTCAGATAAAATAGCCTGGTTATAACATATTCTGATGTTTCTACTACTTATGCCAACAGAGTACTGTAGTCATGGGCTTGACCCTAACATGCAACAATTATACAAACATAGAACATTCTCCATCCCCCAGTTTTTGTTACAGAAGAAAATACAAGTGATGGAAAAGCACAAGAGAACAACAGACAATATTGGCCAAACACTAGGCACGATCTCAGTACTATCTTTCTAAAAGACACTGGGCAAAGAAAATCGGAAAGGAGGCTAATAAGACTGAGAGATATCAACAGGATGTTAAAAAAAGTCGTCAAGAGTAGAACAGTGTTATTCAGAAAAGGAAATCGAATGAAGAAGGAATTAGAACCCACATAAAAGCGGAAGACCAACAGCCTTCCTCTCCAGTTTACTGTAGACAGATAAGAACTGAGGAGAAGAAGGAAGCAGGAAAGGCTTTATCAGACCAAATAAGACATACTTCTGTAAGAATGAGATGAAAGGTGCAAGATACAAAGAAAATCTCCCTTCTGGAGAGGGCTTGGGTGTACCCTAGACAATCAAACTCAATTAGCTAGAAAACTTTCTGTCAATAAGTTACGCACAGCCTGAAGGATAATTATGTCTTACCTTTTTGGTATGTTTGATTTTATGAGGACTCAGTTTCTCTAAATCATCCTGAATTTCTTTTACCTGTTTATCAAGAAAGGGGGGGGGGGGGGGGGGGGGGAAGCCAGTCAGAATTAGCTCCGCATCTATAAATGAACAATTAATCTTCACTGTAATATCTGAGTGAAAGTCCAAATTTTCCAACAGTGATGCTCATCTCTCTGTCCAGTCATGAGAGAAATTAATCACGCCGTTCAGATCTGAACTAGAATGCCAAAGAAGTTCATAGATAACCTGATCAAATTTCTTGTTTCAGTTCATTTCTGTCAAATTAATCACAATAAACTGGCTACTATACATCCCAATTTAAAATGCTAGTTCCTACCTGTTGCTGGAGTACATACAGCATCCGAGCTGACCGTGCAGCTTGTTTCTGTCTCCTAGTGCAAAGTCGTTGCTCTTCATCAGGACCTAAAATTTCTCTCTCTCTCCCTAAAAAGCATGAAACGTCAAGTTTTATGTCTTGATTTAACCTGTGAAAATCCTGATTAAGCCATGATAACAAACGTAATTTAGCAATAAGCCTCTTTCATGCAGAACCAATACATAGTGTATCATACTTTGCAGGGCTCCCTTGAAGAGTAATGCAAACTAGTTATTTTAACTCTACATCACATTTCCATTTAGAATTTGACTAAACGTTCTTATACAATATAGCTTATTGGTTACAGCTTACAGAATCATGTGACTCCTTAGTTTTATGACAAAGTTGCAGGTAAAGCACTCAAAGGTAGCAATGGTTAAACCTCCAGCTAGTTATTACAAAAGAAGCGATGCAGTGTATACTGTGGCTGGCTGGGATGGAGTTAGTTTTCTTCACAGTCACCAGTATGGTGCTGTTTTGGATTTACAACTAGAACAGTGTTGATAACACACCAGTGTTTTGGCTGTCGCTGAGCAATACTTGCACAGCACTAAGGCTTTCTCTTTTTTTCAGCTATGCCCTGCCAGTGCGTAGGCTGGGGGCGTGCAAGAAGCTGGAAGGGGACACAGCCAGGACAGCTGACCCCAACTGATCGAAGGGATATTCCATGCCATGCTCAGCAATAAAAAATGGAGGTTTTTTGGGGAAGGTAGCCATTGCTCCTTGCCCTTTGCCTGGGCATTGGGCCTACTTGTGGGAGGTAGTGAGTAATTGCCTTTGCATCACTTCTTCTGTTTTTTACCTTCTTCTTCCTCTTTCCTTCTGTTACTAAACTATCCTTATCTCAACCCCTGAATTTTCTTGCTTTTAATCTTTCTATTCTCTCCCCTGTCCCACCAGGGGGGAAAGGAGCACAAGCCTGTGGTGCTTCACTGCCATCCAGGGTTAGCCCAAAACACAGTGTCAGAAAGCACATTAATCATGCTACTGCACAGCCATAAATTAGGTGAGTCAGACTTGTGAAATGAAATTTTACCAGCTGTTGCCCCCTTTCTGATCACTGATAAGAATATGGCTAATTATGATACTGTTTTTTGTAGTCTGAATATCTAGCCAATAGGCCTACAAACACCAGTATTTTTTCACCCACGTTATTAAATAGCCTACCATTAATTTACTATCGTTGCAGGTTGGATTGGAACTCACCACAAACGTCAGAGATAATAAACCCTGATATTGCTTAAACTGGCTAGCCATTCTAGCTTTTATTTGCTTTTCAAAAAAGTAGATGGTTCTCAAAATTCCAGAACTGAATATGGATTCCAATCCAAGGCAAAAAACAGAAAGAAAAACAAATCAACAAACTACTGTACATTTATATAACATAATTATTGTTCAGTCTTACACCTTTTTTAGTCAGTTCTTCAATTTTCTGGACATAGCTCCTCAATTCTTTTTGCAGCCGTAGGACTTCCTGCACATTTTTATCTTCTTTTTTGTTTACATTTGGCTTGGGGTCCAGTCCTGTGTCATGGGTGGGTGGAGAGTCCAAAACAGCTGGTATTAGCTTTCCCTTATTTGGTGTGTAGAGATAAACTTTAGCGCCAGAGGTGGTAGTCTCCACTTTGGAAGGCTGACTGAGTTTCTGCTGATAATTCAAGCAAGTTTGAGACTTCAGTGCATTCTTATTTTCTGGACTTTCAAATACCTCAGTCTTCTGCTGTTGTGGCTTCTGGGCCAACAACGGCTTATTGACAGCATCTCCAAACACTTGCTGTTTCACTTGCTCTTCAAGATGTCTTCGCTTTATGTCCCTTTTGGCTAGCTGAATAGCCAATTTTAGTCTCTCTTCAGATACCGCTGAAAACATGCCAGAGCTTCTTATGCTGGGGTCCTCACTTCCAGCTAGATTTCTCTGATCATTGGATGCCTTCAGTTTTTCTATTATAATTGGAGGGGGGTTAGAGAATCTGAGAGCCAAGTTCTCTGGAAGTGCAGGAACATTTCTATTAAACTGGAGCTGTTCCAAAGTGTAAAAAAAAGCTGATGTTACACAGAACACTCTACACAGGTGACATACCTCTAGTGTGTATCAGTAAGGAAAATGGATACTCTTTCATATTAGAATGTATTCTGTCATGATGGTACTTCTTAAAGGCATGCAAGGTATTCTGTCCACTCAGACAAATGCCAGTTTTCAAAATTATTTTGAATTAAGCACTTAGATCATCTTGTAAATAACATTAGGCACTTACCTGCAACTTAGCGTGGGCACCTTAGGGAGGGTACACACATTGAAAAATCTGCTCCAAAGTGACTGGGCAATGGACAGTGAATGCCCTTATAAAGATTTTTTTTTTTTTTAAGAGTTCTGACAAAGAAATTAATGAGTTATAAGAACAATTAACATTAGTAATATAAATGGGTAGGATTATATCATACTGGTTTAGTAAGGCAGTACTAAATTTACAAAGGTAACAGAAGGAGAAATGATGAAGGAGATGCATGATGAAGGAGAAATGGAAAGCTGAAACATGATACCACAATAAAGTTTCTAGGTTCTGTTTCCACGTAGTAAAGTAAGAGGTTAAGATAGTGTATTGATTTAGACTGGGATAGACTTAAATTTCTTTATAGTAGCTAGTATGGTGCTACATTTTGGATCTGTGACGAAAACAGCATTGATAGCAGACCAATGTTTTCATTATTGTTGAGCAGTGCTTACACGGAGTCCAGGCCTTTCCTGCTTCTCACACTGCCAGCTTTTGCTTTACCTATTAAACTGTCTTTACCTCAGCCCACGAGTTTTCACGTTTTTACTTTTCCAATTCTCTCCTCCACCCCACCATGGGGGAGTGGGCAAATGGCTGTGTGCTTAGCTGCCTACGGGGATTAAATCACAACAGAGAGGTAAATAATATTTAGATGTAGTTTCTGATCTATACCCTTACAAAAGGACAGTGTCAAGATTATGTATGAAAGCATCATGAAAACAAGTATGAAAATTCGACACCCACTAGTGGGCTGTCTCAGGAAGTAGGTCATAACCATCTTTTTTGTAACGATCACAGATTAAAACCAATTCAGCACTGCTGCAGAAGTCAGATAATACCTGTGTTTGTAAAGCCTTTGCTTCATTCCTGTATAGCTGAGTAGCAAATGCAAATGTAGCATCAGACATCGTTGGCTTGCTTGGTCCCATCACATTGGCTTGATGCTCAAAATCCAGTTATTTGTCCTTTGCTTACAATTACAGCTATGAACGTAAGAACAACCATACATTATTTCTGCCTCTCAAAAGCAATCCCAGGTCTGATGTGAATAACAGATAGAGAACCAACCTGAGGAGCCACGTAGAAATGGAAAATGTATTGTGTACTCACACAGGTGGTCCACAAAATTGAGAGTACAGTCCCACCGTTTAAAGCAAAATTTACAATTTATATCCTTCTTTTACACACCCCCACGGAGAGCTGAGGAGCACCATTACAGACTATGAGGCTCACACTATGAATCGTAAGAAGACTGCTGCAGAGCCTTTATAGCTATTACTTGCCTACAAGGGAAATAGGTGACTGCAGTAGGAAAAGACAACAGACTAGCCAGGTAGCCTAAGGCAGTGCTCAAGGCAGCCAGGTCTGTACAAGTTAGTGTCAAATGAAAACTGATCAAGGGCATGCTCATACCTAAACTTCTTCACAGAGAAGCATTTAAAATAAAAGCGATGCGTGGAGACAGCCAGAAACTTACGTCTCCATCACCTGCCTCTGAGAATTAAAAAACGAGTAGGACCCGACACATAACGGTGTTAAAACTTTCTATCGCGACTGAACCACAGACTTTCTCTCCACGCCTCAGCTCAGCCGCAGGCACCTCACACGACCCCGAGTCCGGACGCCTGCTTGGCCGTGCCTGCCGACAGTTTTGGTCACGACGCGCCCCTCGCGAGGGGAGCTCCCCTGCGGTGCGACCCCCCTCCAGCCGCCCGCAAGTCAGACCCCGGCGGCCGACCTACCTCGCCCCCCC